GGCACATTATATTAATGCAGTTTCTGAGCAGCTAAAATCGAGCCCCAGTCAGTCAGGACTCAATCCTTTAATGCACCCTGTGTATGGACAGAATGCAGTGTATTTGTAGATTCATAAATATACATACTTTATTTGTTTTTCCAAAGCTTCTTATTAAAAAAACAAATAAATAAAAGAAGGGAAACAGCAATTGCAGCAACGTGGTCCAAAATCCCACCTGTGGAGAGGGGGTACCAGCAGGAGCAGAGTTTCCCTCTGTGTGTTCAGCACAGCCTGAGCTCCCAATCCCCTGCTTCTCTGAGATGATCAGGAATCCCGTGCATGTTGCTATGCCGTGTTTTCCATCTGCCTTTCCTAAGGGCCCCCTGGTTTTTGGGAGTGGGGATTTGGTGGGGTTACACATCAGGGAGCGAGGCTGCTCTCCTGTCCCAGGGATGCAAACCCTGCACAGCACACACAGATCCAAGTGCTGACCCACAGGGAGGGTTCTGAGGGCAAGAGAAAACAAAAAATAAAGGAGGCACCTCCTGTGTTTTTGATCCCCTGTCCCAAACCACCTATCAGCCAGACTCCAAATGCAAATTATTAAATGCAAATTATTACACATCTGCCCTGGGCATGATTTTATGTCCACTTTTCCAAAAATACCCCATGAGAAACACAAACTAACATGTCTGTGTTAATTGATTCAACCATCATATAATTTCAGAATAAAATCAGGAGAGATATTACTAATATGTAAAATCACAGATCATTATTTTTCTTTCGAAATAAAACTGAGTTCAGAGCTTTTTTCAACCAGGCATTGCATCTGAGAATCCTGTGTAAGAGAGATTCCACACTGGAAGATGACCTGCAGTAGGAAAGAAGGAACTATAAGAAATGCAAATAAGGAATAATAAGAGTATTTGATACACCTGCAATTAGAGAAGTGGCTATATAAGAATATAGAAGTATATGGATTTTTCCTTAAAATTCAATAATTTAAAATGTTAGAATAATCTGATTTATGAAAGGGAAAATCAAAGTGCAAAAGGGAAGAACACTTTTCTCTGTAGGAAAGAAAGTACAGGCACTTCCTTGGGATTGCTCAGGGATGAATTTATGTGCTATGAAAGGGAAAGTCAGAGGTGAGCCTTACTTTCAGCTTCAGTTCTTTGACCGTTTTGGAAAGACATCTTTGAGTTGTGTCTTAATTATGAATAAAATTGGGAATGATGGCTGTTGGGGGAAAAAATCCTACCTTGAACATCAAAGTCCTTTCTTGCTGATGTGGTCAGGAATTTCAATAATTTATTGGAAGTGACCTAAATAACATCTATGGGCTAAAAAGTGTTGGCTACTTTGGATTTGGACTGTAACTTTATTCAAGTTGAAATATTTCTTGGGATGTGTATTGGAGGACTTGTTGCACAGAGGCTGAATCTGAAGAAGCAGCAGGGCCTGGGGAAAATCCCTTTTTGCTAGAGGGTAAAGGATACTGGAAGCAAGAAAAGGAACATTTTTGAGGTCAGCATGGGTTGCTGTTCAAACCTGTGCAAGTAAATTTAATTAAGTTAGGACAGTATTGGAATTAGTATATTGGTGAAGTCTGCACGAATTAAAACATAAAGAGGCCAGTGGGAAGGAAGACTTTGATAATGAAGGGAAGAAAAATGAGTGGGAAATGAAATGAAATGAATGCTCCAATGGAGATTGTATCTCCCGTAATTAAAAGTACTGTTAATTCACAGGCATTCAACTGGTGAAATTGGGCCCTGTGCTGTGGGGAGATTTCAAGGAGAAATAAAGATTGGAAACTTTCCCTTCAGATCCTTCACAGCTACAGTACAGGCAGGGTGGGTTCCCCAACAACAAAGTCACCTGTGGGTCAACGTGTTTATAACAACTGGCAGGAGTCAATTTCTTTGCATAGTTACTATTTAAAAAACCAAAACAAACAAAAACAAACAAACAAAAACCAAACAAGCAACAAAAAAAATAATTAAAAAAACAAACCACAAACAAAAAACCCCCACACATATATAGGACACAGCTACCAAACAAATTCTTTCTCCTATCATTTTTCTACCATATTTCTTTACTAGGCATCTCTCTAATAACATTACAACAGCAATAGGAATTTGTTGGTCATCTGGGAAGCAGCTTGCAGGGATTTATTTTAGAGAATTCCATGCTGGAAATGAAGCAGCCAGTCTTTCATAGCTGTCCCTGTATCTATTGATGAGGTTGTTTCTTCTGAATTAAAATTATTCAAGGTTTTTTCTTAATTTAATGCTACCTTTTAGTGGCCATACC